CTTGGTTTTTAATTGTAAGCTGCCCAGAGTCACCCTCTGGGGGAGATGGGTGGCATAAAAAATTTAATCATCATCATCATCATCAGCAGCAGCAGCAGCAGCAGCAGCAGCAGCAGCAATCCTGAGTGGTGAACATAGTTAAAACTATTAATATAATAATGCGAAGTGAAAATGTGAAAAAATAAGGGTACCCAACAAAAATAAAGCGAAAAAGTGGCAGCCCTGATATGCCACTTTGCCCTGATCTCCAACTCCTATAATATTCTAAGGTTTCTTCTTTTCTGCCTGTGGATCATAAGTACCAGGTCAAAGTCTTCAGAGATTAACTGGCTAATATATGATTCATGATCTAATAAAGTCTTTTTTAAAATTAATTGGGAGGCAAAAACTTTCCACTTGAAAAATGTGATATAATCATTCTGCATCTCTTCCCATTGCTATACTATTACCTGTTGAATCCTTCATCCTGTCATTCAGACTCACTTGTATTTATGAAATCTGAACAACCACAAAAGATCTAAAGATGAGTAAGAGAAGTAGATCTGTCGAATGAATTTCCACTAGGAAATTTGCTTTATAGCAGCATTAGTGTGGAAGATGTAATATAAATGGAGGAATGCAATTACTAGCATTCTAAATTCTTTGGATTAGGCATGTCACAAAATATCTAATCTTTCATTTACCCCATTGCACTCAGATACAAACAAATTTGGGTTGATACCAATTTAGAAGTGGGTCATTCCAAGTCAAACATTTCTGGCAATGGTGTCCAGGCATTCTATTTAAGCCTTTTTAACTGCGGAAATTAATCCTGTTGCATTTACAGTCAACCTACAATTTAATAAAAGTTTCGTTGGGTCACTCATTTATACTAAATCAGATTATTGACCTGCCTGGTCCTAACACTCCCCAGTGTGGTACTTTCCATATGTGTTGTACATTAACTTCTGCTAAATCACTCAGCATGGCTCAGTGTATCACAGAAAAATAGAGTAATGAAGGCAAGTTTAGCTTATTCTACTGCAGAGAAACAGAATTCCTGTTCTTCTCAAATCCTTTTCAGTAGAAGGATCAGGGACTGAATCTGTGGCATCATATGCTTATTATAACACTGAGCTACAAATGGTTATGCATTCTAACCTGCATTGGAATCTCAGAACAAAATAATTTCACTTACAGAAGAACTCCATCATCTGACCATCAGTTGATAGCACCAAGCGACTGTTTGCAATTTAGAGAGATCAAATGGCATCAAACACCTCTGCAATGTGTCCAAGAAAACTGGCTTTCTCATGTGAAGTCCTTCTCTTGACAAATGTTTTATAATGCAATCACTCCCCCCAGGCCTATTCCAGCAGATGATAACACGTCATCTGACATGGTTGAGCAAAGTTAGCATTGTACATATTCTTCAGAAACAATACCATGTTGTGACTTCCTAGCATATCTGCATAGGAAATGCATATTTCATTTTAAGACCATATTAGGACTGACAGATTAACAATGCAGAGAAACATTTATGCCTTGCAACATGGTAACAAATAGAATTTGTTCTCTATAAAGGTCTACCTGAATATTATGCAACATTGAAAAATGTGGCCATACCATTGCTTTGTATAAGAGCATTACAATCTGACATTCTGAAGAAATTACAGTCTCTTTGACATTCTGAAGAAATTCTAAAAGGTTGGTGAGACAGGATTTACCTTTGTAGAATTCATACTGATTTTCCTTCAGCAAGGACTAATCCTTAGCACTGAGCCTTATATGAGTGACAAGTTATATATTTTCACTTGGAGGTCAATAATTTCACAGTTGAGTTCTTTAAGAACTTTCAAGTAGATGCCATCAGAACCCAGTGATTTGTTACAGTAGTCAAGTCTTTTGTGACTGCCTTCTTTCTAAACCATAAATTCTGGATCCCCTGAAATTTCTGACGGTTCAGATGCAGTATACACAATGTGGAATGGCTCATCGGGTTGGGGGGCTCAGAAACCCCAAAGTTGTAAGCTCTAAGCGCACATGTCTTTGGAGCTTGATTGCAGAATTTTTTGTATGAAAAAGGTTTCCAGTTCAACCACTACTTTCTTCAAACGGGATTAAGAAAGATATATATCTCTGAAACACTGGATGGATGGAACAATATCATGTATGAGACACCTTTTAATGGTCCTATTGCATGATTCAAATGTCCCTTATATGGCTGATAACCTGACAAAAGAAGGGGTAAAATATAGCTTAGTAAAAGTATATCTTAGTGAAATATAGGGAGCATGTAGGTCATCAAAGTGCATTAAAAATAACAGGTTCCATCACTGATTTTCAAAACTGTCATTTCATCTTAGCATACATCCTATAAACACAGAACATGGTGGCTGTAAATTCTGGAAACAAAGAGCAAAGGATTGAGTCACTAGAAATCAATAACCAAACTTTAGCAAACTGGAAAAGTAGATAATACTAGTAGGAATAGATATGTCATCATAGTCCATTTTCTGGAATCAACCCTATCTTTCCTCCATGTTCATAATCTACAATGCAGCTTACAACAATAAAACAGTTAAACCAATGAAAGTCATTAAAAGTAAAAGGAAAGCAATGAAGTATTATAGGGCTTATGTGCATCTCATTAATAACTGGACTACACTTTCTGAAGGTTAATAAAGCTCAGGGAGAATTCAGTATTTTAATTTTGATGAAATAACAAATGAACCCTCCCAGATCATTATGTGTGGTCCTCTGGCTATGGCTATTAATTTGAAAGCAAGTAGTCAGTATTGTTTTTTTTTTAATCATTAATGTTTGTTTTCTACCCCAAAGATTCTTATTAGCTTGATTAAGAATCTTTGTGGTGGAAAACAAACATTACTTATAAAAAAATATATATGTTTGAGGACTGTCTATTGAACCCAAATTCTGATTTAATTCTTGCTGGTGATATTAACACTATCTTGGGCCTCAGTGATGAAACCCTTTATTTTCATTTTAATAGTGTATGCTTTCTGTCCACTGCCTGCTCCTCCCTAGATTTCATTGCTTGAAGGATGAGAGAATGAATAATGGGGGAGTGGGGGTGGCTGGCCCATATAATTACCAAATTCAATCTTTCTCACTTTAAATGAATCAATTGAAGGAGATCCTGAGGGAGAATTCACTTAATTTAGGTCACTTGGGTGGCAGTACTGTTGACTATATGATCACATCCTCAAATTTAATCAACAAATGAATGCCTTCTAGATTATTTTCATCCTGACAACAATAATTCCACCCTTATTGTGAAATAATGGCCTGGCTAGCTGTCCAGAATATAATAGTCAGGACAAAATCTCTTTGGTTAGAGATTACCAGCACTGAGGGTCCACTGAATGTGAGAGAGCTGGTGCCCAGCTTTTTAGCTCAGCTATATCTTCCTAGCTTTAGTAATTGGTTGAAATTGTGAAGGATGAGAGTGAAGCATTTTCCCAGCAAGTAATCAACTTCATCCAGAAATCTCTAATGGCTAAAATTCCAATTAAGAACACTAGAATTGAATGGAAATCTGGTACAATCCAGAATAAGTAGAACCCAAAACTAAACTAGTTGAAGTTTTCAGGTCTTTTATAGATGGGCATCACTTGAGGGGTACAGTATGTCATCTGAAAAAAATCATATTAAACGTTTATGAAAACAGAAAACCAGGAGGTTCAAATGAATAATTGGAGGAAGATGGCCCAATCAATTAAAGATAAGAACTCTCCAGCATTTTGGCAGCTTGTAGACTACTTTTTCCAAAAGCTACTCCTGGGCCAGATAGATTATTCTCACCTGAGAACTGCATTCACTTTGCCTTTCTATGTTTAGCAATATTGTAAGAATCTAATTCTCCTTAAGCTAACTGTAGAATGTTTATTTGATTGGTCTCTATGTCCCTTTCTGGGGTTTCTAAATTTATCTGACTGCTGAAGAATGGTAAATTTATGGGGGGAATATGATTGCAACTGAACTGAATTCTAGTAGGTATCAGTACTGCCTTCTCTATTACTCATACCGACTATTTCTTTCAGATGACTAGTCTATTTACAGCCTCAGTTTACAAGAAAGAAGAGAAGACTGGTCCTTCACCCAATCAGCCTTCTATATCCAAACTAGTTGACTGGCTGATTCAAGACAATCTATTGGCAGAGGAACAAGCCAGGTGTAGGGCAGAACAGTCAACATTTGACTATTGTGTTGTGCTGTTATCACCTGCCCAAAAAGTTTTCCTGCTGCCCTCAGTGTGCTGCCTATGGCATCTTCATTGGTTTAAAGATGGGTTTTGATTTAATCTCTAGAGAGGGGCTATTGGCAAAAATAACAGCCTCTACTATAGATCAATGACTTTGTCTCATTATGACGCTACA